CCTGAGCTGGATAAAATTTGCATAAAACGAATTCGCTAAGTTTGTTTAAATGGATAGAGTTTTTAGAGGCAAGATTTTCTTGTTTTCCTTATGCAGAGATATTATTCAACATTTATTTTTATTTTTTTTGGTTGTTAGAGATATTATTATCATTTATAATGAGGATTAGGATGATGGTAATTAATTAGCAAATAATAGATATCATTAATGCAAATATTCTTGCCCTAACAATTGTATATAATGCTGATTTGGAAAATCTACAATATGTCAAGATGAATAACTATTAGACTTTTATAGAAAGCAATGCACTATTAAGATGGATTACCTTATCACAAAATCACGAAATAGTCTAATGAAATCCAATTTGATGGTTTTTACAAATTTTAGCAAAGTTGTTAAAAAGAATAGTTATTATGTGTTGATAATAATTGCCATAAATGTTAAAAAGGATGGTAGCTTGAGTATTACTAATGTAAATGTATTTGCGGAGATGGACTGTTGGTTATCATATATATAATAAACAATTTGATGATCCTGAAGATTAAAATTTTATTGAGTGTAAGTATCAAAGTGACCTATATTGCTTGCATGATGGATGTTTTGAATATCAATATCAATGCTCTTTGGATGCATTTAATGTAGAAGAATAATTATTGTGAGCAATCTGATGATTAAAATTACATTTTAGATTCTCTAACTTTCAAGTGTTAATTGTAATATAAGATTTGTTCAGAAACAAAACCATTAAATGACAATAAGTTGTCATTTGTATAGTGTAAAGAAAATTAAGCATTTATCAATGATAAATGTGTTAATTTATGTAGCAATTGAATGCTTAGCACTTATGAATAGTGTGACGAATTTTTTAACTATTTTATTCACTTCATTAATTATACTATTCAGTTCTCTATTATAATGTCCTTCATATACTGTTAATTCTATTTTGAAAAAATAAATAGAGTTGCACCGTTATTAAGCTTTTATTTATCTTCTATATACTTGTATTACCATCATAGTAGAATTCATAAGATATGCCTTGCATTATTTTGTTTCATAATTGGTTTTATTTTAATTATTATTGACATTTTTGATTAACGATAAAAGGTACACTATTTATATAAAACAATAGAAAAATGAGGAAATCTAATTTTAATTTGACAATCTGATATACCTATTCTTAAGAACTAAGAATTAGAACCTAAAATAATTAAATGATCTAACAGTTAAAAGAAGGCTGATTTCAATAAATATTTACCTATCTTTGCATCCTGATTAATAATTATGTATTATTTCTTAGAATGCTAAATTTATATTATTATTTAAAAATATCTTCTCTTTAATTGATTCTTCAAATATTTTTAGATTCTGTTATATTTACTAGTAATAATAGTGATTTCCATACAAATGAAAAATTGTTTATTCTCTAAATTTTCCTTTGTTTTGAGTTTTATTTTAATTAGGGTTATTATTTATATTTTTTCATCAATCCTCTTTCAATCTTTTTGATTGTAAACTATGAATTATTTTTTTTTTGGCACTTTTTTTATGGCTTAACCATAAAATACTCATTTTCATTCTAGATCATTTCTACAAAAAGATTATCATTATTTTTAAGAAACTCTGTAGAAAAAATTAAATTGCTTCTTCTAACATTTAATCTTAGCATAAATCTTAAATCAAAGAAATACACATTATCTGCTAATTATTCCTTTTCTTCTTTTGTTGATAACAGAGAAATTACTGATGTGAATAATTTTACTCTTAAACCTTCAATTATAAAAAATAACCAAATGAACAGTTAAATCGACATTCCATTCAAGAATAAATAATTATATAGAAAAGTTGTACAAGCAGAAACTCAAATTATAAGTTTAGATACTTAGTCAAATTCTTTTAAAACCCTTTAGGTTGCAGATATTTGAATTCTAATAATGACTTTAGAAATTAACTTAATCATCAAATATCTAACTTATTTTATTATATAACAACTATCTAGAATTTTGATTTTTTTTATCCTATAAATAGATTAATGTATATATTTAAAATACCTCTCAAAAAATAATAAATTAAAGTTGACTCATTTATTCCAAAAAAAGAGAGCGATATTTTTCAACCCTCAGTTAACAACCATTTAAATACTTTTTGATTCAACCTTTTTTTGAAGTACTAACTAATCTACTTAAAAGAGACTTCATGATAAATATTAGGATAATGAATGTAAAACCTTTATGATTCTTTTAAACTAAACAATTTTCTAAAACATTACAAAAATGACTTCAGCAAATGTTGTAAAATTAATTTTTACAATGCCAAGGAGGTAAGTTGAGAAATCCTGAAAGTTTTAACACTTCTTTAATCTTCCATACTGCAGCAAGGGAAATAACTATATCAAAAGATATTGTTAAAAGCCGACTGTAAAAGAATGACATAATTATTATGCATTTATAAAGTGACAATATTAAATTTGTTTTGTTAATTTCAACAATTTCTAAAATCATTGCTATCCTCTTCTTCCCTCTAGTTTCAATATCCATCATCTAAACATTTACAACTTTATTAAATTTTTCAATTAATACACTATGTAGACTCTATTTAAATTAGGTAGAATAGAAATTAGAAATCAAGATTTTATTGTGATGAGTGTAACGTAGATCAAAAAATATACTGAAAAATTATAATTTAAGTATAAATAGATAGAAATGAATCAAGAAAGTTTAAAGAAACTTAAATAAGATTTATTCCGACCAAATTTTTTTATGTGATTTTTATTAACATTCAACCAAATATTACTTAATAAATCTCACATTCTGATATATTTGGAGTTGATTATCCAAATAAATATGAACTTTTGGCATTTTAATATTTATCCCACTTATAGGCATATCCTAAGTTAGAATAACCATTTTGAAAATCTTAATCAATATAAATATCATGACCATCCCCAAAAGTAGGTCCATAGTTACTACCAGAATAGATAGCTTTTGATTAATATAATGATTTTAAAGGATATACTTCATCATAAGATTATGAAAATATAAACGAGGTTAATGTACCATCTTTTACGTAGTTATTCTAATCTGATAGCCATTAACAAGGAGAAAACCCACCAAAAATGTAACCACTTTTAGTTTTGAATATCATTAATAAATTTGATTTACCTTCAACTTTACCCCAAAAAGCACTTGCATTTAATCCATCTTTTGAACTTAAAAAGATTCTTTAAAAGCTTGTTGCTATTTTATCGGATTTCAATTAAATAGTATTTATTATTTTCTATTTGTAATAATAAGACAAAATTGACTGTTCAAAATATATTACATTAATTTACTTTATGAGTTCTTATTTGCTAGCATTTAAATATCTAAACTATTCTTGTAACTTTTTACATTAAGGAAGTTTTTCTTAATTTGAATTTTTAAGCTATAATACTGTTCCATTTAATAAATCGGTCAAAGTTTAATTAAGTTCTTTTGAATCATTTTTAGTAAGATCAATTAAATAATTATGAACTATCCTTTCATTTTATTGAATGGCTTCAACATTATTTTAAACCTCTATTGATTAAAAATTCTGTAAGATTTATTAGAATTGATCAAATTTAATAATCTATTATTTTCTTGCAATTAATTACTTTATTCAATTATTCCCTAATTTTCTATTTTGTATCAAGAATATATTTTGAATCTTATACCATTTCGCTCTAGACCTCGAACAGGAAATTTTAAATTTTAACAATTTGTGTTTTGATATTCAAAAAAATACCATCCAATGTTTTATCATTAAATTTATCTAATTCATTAAAAAAGTTTTTAAGGGAAGGGGACAAATTAAGTTTTGATATTAAATGTTCAGGACCCTTTAATGCCTTTTATAAGATAGTCCTAAATTATACATCCTTTATATGAATTAGATTTTCAACATTCACCTTGTAGGTTCCATCTTATAAATCCAAACAGCATTCATCACAAATATACTAGGTGTTGTCATTTCCCATTTTGATGAAAAGTAGAAAGGAATCTTTATGTTTCAAACTAGGAATTTATTTCATTTTCTATTAGCTAATTATCATTTATAAAATGATGAATTTTTATATAATGAAATTAATAATGTAAAAACTATCATTACTTAAATCTTAATAATATTAATTCATACTTATCGAAATTTGGTTAATATAGATATTAAATTAAATGAATTACAGATTTTGATATTCATGAGATTAGATAAAGAATTATATTATTTGGCATTTCAACTTTGCTGATAGTTTTCTTATTTCTAGTGAATTTAACAATATCAGAATATTTTAATGTTTCATTTAATATTCAATGACGTAAAGATTAAACTATTGTTACTAAAATTCTTTCCTAGATTTTGCCTTTATTTAATGATGAAAATTATATATACAATAATTTATCAGGCTATGTATCTTTTGTTTCTACAATTGACTAAATTAATTAAAAATCGCTTCTTCCATTCTTAAGAAACTCATTTAAATATTTATAGTATATTGTGATGAACTCTAAAGTTTGAAACTATTTAAATTGTATCCTCCCAAAATTGAAATAGATCAAATCTAAAATTGAAAATTGGTTAAGAGAATATTAAAGACAGTTTACAATAATAAGTATTATTTAGAGTCTGTAAAGATATTAAGCAAATCAAATATTCATTTTCATTAATTAGATCCAAAGAAAGATTGAGATTACTTATTTGTCCCATCAACTCTAGTTTATAAAATTAATCAATTTGATTTCTATACCATAACTTTAATGTTGTCGATTCTGTCTTTTAAAATACTCTTTAATAAAAAAGTAAAAGTATGGATTGAAATCAAGAAAATTTACTTTTTGCAATAGATATAACTGAATTTCTTTAAATAATCATCTTTAGTTTGAATTCTTTTTTAATTTATATTAAAAATTTAAATTATTGTATTCAAATTAATTAGGAAATATATTATATTATCATTTGTATAAATATATTCTTAAAAATTACGAATACTATCATTAATGTTTATAAATTATTCTGTTATTATAGTTAATGAAATATTCTCTAATTACTTGTTATTTTATATAATATTTATAAATCATTACTCCAATCAATCTCCTTTTACATTTTTTAGAATCTTCTCTATTAATAGTTCCAGGTTTCTTTTCAGATTTTTCTTCTGTTTGTGATTATGGCTTTTTCTATTGGATGAAAAAAATTTATTCCATTTTTAGTTCTTAAATTTGTATTTTTTTTTTACCATTATTTTCAATTGCTATGTCAAGGAATGCATAAAGAAAAAAATCATTCCCCGCACATTAGGGTAAAAATAGAATCTTCTTCATGCTTTAATTCA